TTAGATTACTGTTATACATAAATATAGGGTTGTTCGGAAAGTCATTTCGTTTTTTTTTTTTGTGGAAATGAAAGACAGTTTTCGTATAATAAACAAATACTTTATTAAATTATATCTTGACCGTTCTGGTCCAACACCTTTTGCCATCTTTCTGGTAGCAGCATAATTCCACGCTCATAAAATTTTTGGTCTTTGCTGGCAAAAAACTGATCGAGGAGGTTTTTGACCTCCTCATTTGAGGTGAAGGTTTTACCGTCTAAAAAATTTTGGAGTGACCGGAACAAATAATAATCCGATGGTGCCAGGTCTGGAGAATATGGTGGGTGTAGCATTGTATCCCATTCAAGCTGTAAAAGCTTTTGGCGAGTGACCAAACTTGTGTGAGGTCTCGCGTTGTCTTGGTGAAACACTACACCTTTCCTGTTGATTAGTTCTGACCTTTTCTGTTGAAGTGCATCATTCAGTTTGTCCAGCTGATGACAGTAGACTTCCGAATTAATCGTTGTGTTATCCGGTAAAAGCTAAAAAAAAACGATTCCTTTAAAATCCCACCAAACAGACAGCATCACCTTTTTTTGGTGAATATCGGCTTTGGAAATGGTTTGAGCCGGTTCATCTTTTTTGCTCCATGACCTCTTGCGTTTGACGTTGTTGTATACAACCCATTTTTCGTCCCCAGTGATGATGCGCTTCAAAAACGGATCATTTTCGTGACGTTTGAGAAGCGAATCGCAGACGTCAATGCGGCGACACAGATTTCTCTCTGTGAGAACATGGGGAACCCATACATCGAGCTTCGAGGATAATCCCAGGCCTTTCAAGTGGTCATAAACTGTTGAATTTGATAAATTTAACCTCAATCCGATCTCACGTGTTGTTATTCGCCGGTTCACATCAACTAATGCCTTTATCGCGTCTTTATCAGCTTCAACCGGCCTTCCCGAACGTGGTGCATCTTCGACATCAAAATTGCCGGATCGAAATTTAGCGAACCAGTTCTGGCACTGGCGTACTGTCAACACACCTTCTCCATACACATCAGTCAATTTCTTTCTGGCTTGAACAGCATTTTTACCCTTTCTGTAGTAAAACAGTAAGATATGTCGAAAATGCTGCTTATCGCTCTCCATATTTAAAAGGGCACCAACCAAAAACTACTGCGTAGAATTAATTGGAATTTTTCACACACAAGCCTTGCTATATGAGCTCTCAAAGCATATAAAAATTATACGGCTTAAATGTGAAGTTGCGTGCAAAAGAATACAATTAAATCCTCTGTCGGGAAAAAACGAAATGACTTTCCGAACAACCCAATAGTTATATAAGGATGTAGGATGTTCTTGTCTTAAAGAAATTCTAAGGTTTCATATAAATAATTTTAAATTTGACGAAAATTTTTTCCTAATAAAATGGCAGTTTCTACTTAGCTGTAAATTCCAAAGTAACCGAGTGTTTTATTTTGCAATTGTTTTCGATTAGAAGGAAAAGAGAAATGCAATACGCATTGGTGATTTATCGTTGGTATTTATCATGCGGAACCTGATCCGCCATTTATTTTATTTCTTTTCGTGTATGATAGAAACCATCCGATATTGAAGCACTGCGCGGCATCGGGATAATGTTATCTTTATCCGATGCTTGGTCCTTTTTGCTTTGTAAGGATTACTCAGATCCTTCTCCTTGGACAATATTAAACATGACAGGTCTATGTCCGTTGATGTCAAGGTTATACGTACACATATAAAAATTGTAGATGTAATAGTGAAACACCTGTAGCACTGTTTATAATTTGAGATTTTGTACAGTTTTATTTATTTATTTCATAAATAATTTCTTTTATCTTTTTGAGTAAATCTCTTTTTACTTTCAGGTTTTATTTTGTTTTTAGAATGCAGTACCTTTACTCCTATCCCGAGCTAAACTTCGCATTTCCCTAAAACTAGAACAACCCACATCCTTAACTATTTGCGAACAGTAATCGAACCTAGGTCTACCTCTACCCCTCCTAACTCCTGTTTCTGCCTCTAATATGTCTCTGACTAGACCTTCATGCCTGAGAAGGTGTCCTACCAACCTATCTCGCCTATTTTTTATTGACTTCCATAGAGTCCTCTGTTCTCCTATTCTTTCCAATACCTCTTCATTTCTAACCTTTTCTACCCACGATATCCTCATCATCCGCCTATAACACCACATTTTGAACGCTTCTAACCTTTTTTTTCCGACGCTCCCACTATCCATGTTTCGCACCCGTACAAACATACATCTTTAACAACCTTTTTCGAATTTCTAAATTAACCGTTCGCGAGCACAAAAGTGACTTCTTTATACTGAAGGCGACTCGACCGTGCGCTATCCTCTGGTTATTATCCCTACTACCCCTTCCGTCCTGACTTATCTGACTTCCTAGATATCAGCCACTTCATCTAATTTTTCGTCTTCTCTATCTTTATATTCGCTCTTTCCGTACTTTTTCATTTTATTCTATTTTACATCTACCTGGTTTAATAATGAAATGTTTAATTCTTGGTCATCACAATACTTAAGGGTTGAAATTGGTTCAATAATAAATTGGATAAATATTCGAGGTGTGAGATAATCTGTGAGATAGTCCAAACAGAAATGACGAAAATTTGAAGGTAAATACTCATGATTCATTTTATTTCAAATTGTTGCTAATTAAATTAAAAGTTAATTTCATTATAAATATGCATCATACTAAGTACTGAGTGAGTTCTAAAAATCGTCGAAATAGACCAGATCACACACGGAGAGCAAATTGTCGCGTCAACAATAAGAAAAAAAAAATGAATGCCGTTTTTCATGTTAACAGTAAAAAGTGATTGTCAACATTATAGTTGGCTTTGATCTGTCCCGAGTCGCGCCTTTTCCAAAGTAACAGGTGTTAAAAGTTTGTGAGACGAAGAAAAGAAAAATTTACGATCCGTTTAGAATCGCGTTCGGCTATTTGTTATTGGTGGTTTAAAACGTCGAATAAATTTTAAAAATAGTCCCGTGGCTGAGAACGAAAGTGAATGTTGTTGTTTCGGGTTTTTATTGTCCGTTCTTTTTAAGCTACATTTAATGGTGAAATAAAAGTGATGACCGTCCAGTCGTCGGTAATTTGGTCTGGAGTGGCAATGAAAATTATCTAAAAAGAAAAGCAATTAATGCCACATTTAAAATTAAATCGCATTAATCTATGTACGTAATTACATAAGACTAAGTGCTTCATGGTATAAACCCACTTGTTTCTATTTAACGAACTGCATCAGTGATGCATTTTCTAGGAAAAACGCCGGGTAAGTGTAAAATTACTCAGTAAAACTTAAGTCTGACACCATGTCAGTCGAGTAAATAGGAGAAAGGGTTGCTGTCGCTAGACAGTTTAGGTAAGAGGGAAATTCGACTTGCTTTTGGGAGATGCGTTGAGCGCGTAAAGAATTTATCCTTTTACTTTCCATGCAAAATGGAGCAAATCTAATAAAGAATCAAAAGGGTCATTCGTGTCTTTGTAGCGATAAAAGCAAATCAAATTACATTTACTTACCTTTTAGCATAACACTATTAACATGAGTGAAGAAATGATTTATTGAACGGCTTTCGTCTTTGCAACTTTGTCACCATTTCACCTCGATTGGAATGCATTAAAGTCTTTCAATCGCTAATAACTTTTGATTGAAACAAGTTACAACGTTAGTAGTTATAACTAATGCCTTAATAAAATATTATATTTTGGTTGATTTGGTGAAGTGAAGAAAAATGCCAGTTGAAATAGAAAAGTCGTAAACGTTTGGAAAGTAATATCCTAATATCCTCGGGAATCCGACACTACCCAGTCGTACGGGCGACTTTTGAAGATTTTTCCTTTTCCACGAAAACAAAAAAAACTAAATTTCCTTAACTTACGCTACCTCGAACTTTCATCAGTAGTTCTAGTGTATTGGAAGAATTTAAATTTTAATTATGTATAGTAGTTTTTTTCCAGGGTTGCGGTCAAATAATTACACACCGTCAACATATAGTTGTGAACAACAACAACATATAGTTGTGTAATTATTTGACCGCCACCCTGGAAAAAACTATATAATTTAATAGTAACGGTCAGGAATCTAACTTAAATTTAAATTTTAAGTAAAAAATCTCTTCTAAATTAAATTAAGTAAGGTCCAAGGGCAAGACCCCACAAGCAATTGTGGATGGGCGAAGGTTTGAAATGGGATCAATCGATTGTCCATGGTGGTACTGTGGTACACTGTACATACATAAATGCTCTAGAATATATTGAAAATCGATGCGTGCAATTTTGCATGAAGTCGGAAAAGGACATTTTTCTGTACCATTATAAGTAGATGTCATGGAAGTATGACTCTTGACTATTTGGTGTAATGTAGACCTACCAATACTATCCTACCTTTCAGGGTGGATTAATACAAAGTCAGCTTTGGCCACAGGAATTTAAGTAGCAAAACCTATGATTGGGAAATATCAATTTTTCCAAATTTTGGTGTCCTCTAGCAGCTATTTTAGGTTCTGATATCTACATAAATTTCTTTAGTCAAAACTGACTTTATATTAGTACAAGTCCATCCTGAAAACTTGGTTAAAAAACATTGGCGGAACTACGCTTATCCAGATGATTTTATTGCAGCACATCTGGTACATCAGATATAGTGATGATATTGTAATTTTTGGGGAAGATCAGTTTAGGGATAGGAAGGAACTGATATATCTTTTGAGATCGGTTAGGTTAGGATTATAAGTTTATACGGTAGGAAAAGACAACACTAATGAAGTGAAAGTAAAGTAAAAACAAAAAACGATAATTCTTCTCGAACATTAATCTCGAAGACGTTATTGTAGGTAAATGTTCGGTTTCCTTCAAGGCCGCGGTCTCCTTGGTTGGCACTTGTGGAATAGATGTATCGCATCGTTTTCCACGAAACTATTCTCATCTGTTTTGCGTTATTTATTATAATCGTCCTCGGTCCAATAACTGTTTTCGATACGCGGTCTCGTCGTGCACATCACGAATGCACGGACAACAGAGAGCAGAGATTGCGGCCGCTCTCTGATTTAATATAAAAAGTCTCTTATTTATGAAAACGTCGTATCGAGGAGGAGATAACGTAGAACAGTAGGCCGCGTTGTCACTAGCAGCGAGAAGATGTTTTAGGCAGTTGTTCTTTGTAAAGCTGGAAGGGGAAGGTAGCTTTCATAGTCGTTCCGGTCGTGCTTTAGCAGTAGCTTTCGCGCCCTCATATGAAAAGTGCTCGGAGCTTTCCCGGTAACGACACGATTTTGTGATGAGAAATGCTTGTGATTTGTGACTGATTTTTCGACTATGCACGATGGCAAGAGAAAAAAGGTCCACATTTAGAAGAGACGTGACCACCGAAACTAGCCAACAATTTCCACAAGTTAAGGAGGAAACTAATGAGTTAATTGGGGAGCACGAGAGTAAGTTGTTAAGTTTTCGTAATCCTTTCGCGTAAAGATGAATACACAACATGATTTAGATAACATACATCCAATAAAACCTTTAAAACAAAAATATAAATAATTTACAGGTGTATTTAACAAATAACTCTTTTGAAATGTATTAAATTATACCTATGTTTAATAATAAAGCAAATTTTGCGATTACAAAAAACTTTTAGAAATCATAAAGACCTTGTAGGTCAATACGTGACATTTATTAATTATTGTTAGTAAATATTGTGACGTCAATGTGCCGGATAGAACATACGTAATGTGGTCTAATTAATTACCTTAAAGATAAAAAAAACAAAAGCTAATATGATCAGACTTAACAGAAATCTTAGTTTTAAAACCGAAACGTATTATGACTAAATTTTAGTTATCGATTCCTTTTTAACTTCTAAATTACGTCGAACGGACTTTTTCGGTCATAAACTTATCGCTATCGGCTATAGATAGTTTATTAGTGATGATCTTATACAGAAGTTATCTCACATTTGTGATTTAAGTGCAGTTAAAGAACATATAAACGCAGAAATTCCTATGAGAATATAAAATCATAATAAAATGTGTCAAAACCGCTAAATGTACTGACTTGAAATATTAAAGTGTTTGCTAATGTATAGGTGGCCAATTTTTTTAATCAAAAATAGCTATTTATTAATCAACTAAGCATTGTGATTGTAACTGAATAATTTATAAAATCTGCGAGTTATACAGGGTGTATATATGAAGAAATAACTTCTTTTTTTTAATTCGAATAATCCTTTCTAGGAAACGAAATTTTTTTGCATCGTACACATCAAAAAAAATAAAAGAAACATAAGTATAACTTCACAACTCAAAAAAAATGAAAGTTATTTTCTACGCTTTTACCATATGTTTGTAAAGAAATCGTTAAAAATGTAAATATGAACATTGTAATTAATGTATTCAAAAACGGTTGTTCCATATCAAAATTTATTGCTGTAGAAGATTAAAATTGCCTATCAATTTTAGATTAATCATATTTTATGTAAATTTGGTGATTAATACTTTAAATATTTACAACAATATAATAACAATAACAACAGAGCAGTGGGTACAATATAAAAAAAGCGTTAAAACCCAGTATCCAGTATCAGATGCGAGAATTTCTGGAATAACCGACGCATATAAATTGTTTTGGTACCTTTTTCAACAACGAAACCAAAAAATATTTTATTTTACGCGAAACGGATGACGCAGTACCTTGTAGTTACGGAAATAGTGTTATTTTGTATAATTACTTGTCAATTTTTAAAAAGCATGCGAAAAAAACATGTCCTGCACGTATGATTAAATAAATAAGTATCTCTGGGAATCCCCTTGAAATGAGGTTTTACATAATTTAAACTAATCAGTTTTGCTTTTGCTTTTGGTGAGTACTCCTGCATATAAATTTAAAAACCTACCCAGTAATGATAAAATTAATAACTATTTCCGATCTGTATTTGTGCATGAAAATAATAATTAAATGTACTAGTACTGTAAAATCAATGCTGTACAGTTATAGGTATCACAAAGCTTTCACGTTACACATATTGATAACTATACAGTAGCTTACTAACTTGACATAAAGGATTGAAACGTACTGGAAGCAGAAACGGGAGTAAATAGAGGTAGAGGAAGGTCTAAATTAGACTACCGTTTACTCCACAATTTCCTAATAAAACTCAATTGTATGTCTTATCAACAGTTTAATATTGATTGAAGCATGTCTTGTTTAACTTTCTCATCGATATTTGTTTTTGTTAACAATCTACTAATTTTCGAAATCGCTCATGGTGCTTGACACAACACATACAGAGATAAATAATTAATGACAATGCTTTAAATCCAAAACGAAACTAGGAAATAATGCATTAAATGTGTAAGTAATAATATCATAGTAACTCATTGACAATGTTAAAACTTTGTTTGAAAATTATTATACGAAAAACCTAAGTCGGATTAAATATTTATAATTATATACGCATATTGGATTATCTTGTTTGTTTTGTTACTAACGACTAATTTCTGGCAATATAGGAAATAGTTTCCTATATCAATCCGATACATTTCATTCCACTTGTGTTGTAGTTATTTTGTTTATCTGCCATGTTTACCGTATAGCTAGTTAGACATTGTGCCCCGATATCGGGAGTTTATGTAAATTAAACTGATAATATGTGACCAGCAAGAATCCCAATAACCTCTTGTACAATAGCGTTAATAAACGTACAAACACACTACGGATTCGTGTCCAAACAATAACAATAATAAATGAAAATTGTAAAGGAAATAACGCACAAACGCTTTTGTTTAGTTCAAAATCAGTAATAGTAAATAACTTGGCGAATACTAAATAAGTTGATTAATTATTGATATTGATTTAAAGGAATTTTGAAAACTGAAAGCAATTGGCTAAATATAAACTCGCCAGAGCATTGGCGCGTATAGCCAGAGCCCGGGTTCGATTCCCGGCGGGGGTGTGTCAACAGCAATAATTTTTCCCTCATTAATTTGAGGTAGTTTGTAGTGGGTAAAAATTGAGAATACTTCATATTAAAACTAACTCCCTTCGGGAAGATTTCTACATTGTATGTATATTTATAAACTAACTGGGTGAAAACTTCGGTTAAATGTGAACTAACCGCGTGAAATTTTAAAACATTCTACTAAATGTGGACTAAGCGGGTTAAAATTGAAAACATTCTGCTAAATGTGGACTAACTAAGTGAAAATTGAAAGCAATTGGCTAGATATAGACTAACTGGGTGAAAAATTCGGCTAAATGTGGACGAAGCGGTTGAGAATTTAAACATTCTGCTAAATGTGGACTAAGCGGGTTAAAATTGAAAACATTCGGCTAACTATGGTATAACAGGGTGAAAATTAAAACAATTCGACTAAATTCATCATTATGAGGTCTTCCGTCCGAAGGTTGATTGAACATCAGGCATCTATACCTTTTCGTATTTTGAATCAATCTTCGCATTTCCCTAAACCTATGAACATCCCACACCCTTAACTATGTGTGAACGGTAGTCTAATCTAGGTCTACCTCTGCCCTCTTAACTTTCAGATACTAGTAACATGTCCTTAACTAACCCTTCCCATTTAAGAAAGTATTTTAGTATCTACGCCCACCGTTAACGTTTCACAAACAGCTATAACAACGTATCTTCAGATAAATAAATTACCTATCCCTATAAATAACTTTTTGTTGTAAAGAAGTCATTATATGGCAAGGAAAAGGTAACAGTGGCAAGATGACATGAAGGAAATGAAGGAATTCCAACGTTTGAAGAATATTGAATCTTTAGTTTCATGGCGACTTTAAATTTCTTTATTGAAAACATCTTGATCAGTTGTTCATAGTGAAAAAGCAGAGAGTTCTCGAAGCTTTTAGTAGAATAGTTTATTGAATATCTTAGAAAAAATGGTAAAATTTGAATGTTAAATGCTCTATCAATAAACGCAATCATTCTTAAGTTAATTTAAAATAAAGAAAGCATCATTTACTTGAGCTATTGCGCCTGTTTTATTGTTATGTAAAAATGAAATAAATTTGGTATGATATGTAGCAGTAATAGTATGTGATAATTAACAATGACTTATCATGAAAATTTTCAATCAAGCCGTGCAGAATGTGTCAGAATATGGGTTAATGACGTGATTCTAAAGATTTCGTGATTGATTGTATTTGTGCAACACCAGGAATATAATTTTTCTCATAATCAGTCATTTGTGAAAGTCATTTTAATGTTCGACAGGTACCTACATGCATTACAGACCGGGTACCAATTGCATTTTATTATTGTTTTAATGAACTGCACCTTTTACTAGAAATACCAACGATTAAAACACTCACAACGAACAACTTAAAAAAGATGGCATTACATAAGAAAGATGACGTTTTGTTAAGAAAGGCAAATATTCTTGACACATAAGTTAGTATGTTGTAAGCAAGAATGGAAAAGAATCCTTTTTTAGAATTAGTACGAAACCTGATGGTCTTGATTTTTTTCTAGGGTGCTATTTTTACTTAATAATCATGCGAACAAACTAAATATTTATTGATATTTTTCGAACCCTTTAATGATACTCATATTAAATACGATCGTATGTGGAAGAAGGGACAAAAGGTATTAGGATATCAAGAAGGAAATATAATGGAAGAAAAAGGTATTGGAAACAGGGACGAAAAGTAGATACGAGAGAGGGAGGGATGTTTGAAGAGATTAAAAATTAATTAGGAGCGGGCGAGGGAGCGGTTGAAGGAAGCGATAGATATAAGGGAAATGATAGGGAACATATGCAAAAAATGATATGGGGAAAGAATTTAAGGAAGAAAGAGGTGTCATGATATGCGGGACTGGAAATGGGATTGGGTGCCAAGGTATTTAGAAGGAGGGAGGGAAATAAGCATTGTAGCAAAATTTAGGAGAGAGAATGAGTGTAGGGGATGTAAATATTGAAAAACGAAGAGGACAAACGGTGTAGAATATGCGGCAGGGAGGAAGAATGTCTCCAACTTGTGATGGGAAAATGCTACGTATTGGCAAATATGAGGAAGGGTGTAAGCAGAGCCAACTGGGGGTCATTTTTGCTTTTAGGATGGTGACAGAGGAGGAAATAAAGGTAGTGGGGAAGAGGGGAGAACAGATAGATATTAATACGAGTAAAAACTATCATCATCATCATAAGGTTATCAGTCCTAAGACTGGTTGGACACGTACCTCCACTCTTTCCTATCCTGCGCCAATCTTCGCATTTCCCTAAAGCTAAAGCAACCCCTATCCTTAACTATTTGCGAAGAGTAATCTAATCTAGGCCTACCTCTACCCCTCCTAACTCCTGTTTCTGCCTCTGACTAGACCTTCATGCCTGAGAAGGTGTCCTACCAACCTATCTCGCCTATTTTTTATTGACTTCCATAGAGTCTTCTGTTCTCCTATTCTTTCCAATACCTCTTC